CTAGGATGCCCACTCTTGCCACTGTTGTTCAACATAGTACTGGAAGTCCTAGCAACAGCAATCAGACAACAAAAAGAAATAAAAGGTATTCATATTGGCAAAGAAGTAGTCAAACGCTCTCTCTTCGCAGATGACATGATACTTTATATGGAAAACCCAAAAGATTCCACTCCCAAACTACTAGAACGCATACAGCAATTCAGTAATGTGGCAGAATACAAAATCAATGTACAGAATCAGTTGCTTTCTTATACACTAACAATGAAAATACAGAAGGGAACTTAGAGAATTGATTTCATTTACTATAGCACCAAGAACCGTAAGATACCTGGGAATAAACCTAACCAAAGAGGTAAAGGATCTGTACTTGAGGAACTACAGAACAATCATGAAAGAAATTGAAGAAGACCCAAAAATATGGAAAACCATTCCATGGTCATGGATCAGAAGAATAAACATTGTTAAAATGTCTGTACTGCCCAGAGCAACCCATACTTTCAATGCCATCCTGATCAAAATTCCACCAGCATTTTCAAAGTGCTGGAACAAATAATCCTAAAATTTGTATGGAACCAGAAAAGACCCCAAATTGCTAACGAAATGTTGAAAAAGAAAAACAAAGCTGGGGGCATCACCTTGCCTGATTTCAAGCTTTACTACAAAGCTGTGATCACCAAGACAGAATGGTACTGGCATAACAACAGACACATAGACCAGTGGAACAGAGTAGTGAGTCCAGATATAGACCAGCAACTCTATGGTCAAATAATGTTTGACTAAGCAGGGAAAAAAATCCAGTGGAAAAAAGACAGTCTCTTCAATAAATGGTGCTGGGAAAATTGGGCAGCTATGTATAGAAGAATGAAACTCAACCATTCTTTTACACCATACACAAAGATAAACTCAAAATGGATAAAAGAACTCAAACGTGAGGCAGGAATCTATCAAAATCCTAGAGGAGACCATAGGCAGTAACCTCTTCGACATCAGCCACAGCAACTTCTTTCAGGACATGTCTCCAAAGGCAAAGGAAACAAAAGCAAAAATGAACTTTTGGATTTCATCAAGATCAAAATCTTCTGCAAGCAAACAGTCAACAAAACAAAGAGGCAACCTATGGAATGGGAAAAGATACTCGCAAATGACACTACAGACAAAAAGGCTAATGTCCAAGATCTATAAAGAACTCCTCAAACTCTACACCCAAAAAAACAGATAATCACGTCAAAAAATGGATAAAAGACGTGAACAGGCACTTCTCTAAAAAAGACACACAAATGGCTAACAGACACATGAAAAAATGTTCATCATCATTAACCATCAGGGAAATTCAAATCAAAACCACATTGAGGTACCACCTTACACCAGTTAGAATGGCCAAAATTAACAAGACAGTAAACAAGGAGTATTGGAGAGGATGTGAAGAAACGGGAACACTCTTACACTGTTGGTGGGAATGCAAATTGGTGCAGCCACTTTGGAAAAGAGTGTGGAGATTCCTTAAGAAATTAAAAATAGAGCTACCCTATAACTCTGCAATTACACTACTGGGTATTTACCCAAAGATAAAGATGTAGTGAAAAGAAGGGCTATCTGTACCCCAATGTTCATTGCAGCAATGACCACAATCGCCAAACTGTGGAAAGAGCCAAGATGCCCTTCAACAAATGAATGGATAAAGAGGATATGGTTCATATATACAATGGAATATTACGCCTCCATCAGAAAGGATGAATACCCAACTTTTGTATCAACATGGATGGGACTAGAGGAGATTATGCTGAGTAAAATAAGTCAAGCAGAGAAAGTCAATTATCCTATGGTTTCACTTACTTGTGGAGCATAGGGAATAACATGGAAGACATCAGGAGAAGGAAAGGAAAAGTGAATTGGGGGAAATCGGAGGGGGAGACGAACCATGAGAGACTGCGGACTCTGAAAAACAAACTGAGGGTTTTGGAAGGGAGGGGGTGGGGGGTTGGGTGAGCCTGGTGGTGAGTATTAAGGAGAACACGTATTGTGTGGAGCACTAGGTGTGTTGCATAAACAATGAATCTTGGAACACTGAAAAAATAAAATTTAATTTAAAAAAATATAAAATAAAAAATTGCAAATAAAAAAAACAAAAAACAACTAATGAGCAGACAAAAGTGTCAGCCTCATTTTTTGCAGAACTTTGGAGTCTAGTCAAGAACTTAAAACAATCAGGAGTATGCTTAGTGAAGAAAGAAGCTGCTGCTTTGCAGTAAGAGAGAGTGCTGGCCTCTCTTGACCTCACATGGCCTGCTGACCATCCCCCATAACCCTGATCCATGGCAGCCATGAGGACTAAGCCCACACTCCTGGTACAGGATGCTAGTGCCACAGGAAACAATGGAGATGTTATTCTCAAAGAATTGTCATTGTGAGTCCCAGCTTATCTGGTGGCTCCGTGAAGGAACGTACAAGGGTTTGCTTTTATGTTGCCTAACTCGAAACATTCCTAGGACAAAGGTAGCTGCCCAGGAGGCTTTTGTGGTATGCATTTAAAGACAGAAATTTTAGGGGCACCTGGCTGGCTCAGTCAGTGGAGCGTACAGATCTTGATCTCAGGGTCATGAGTTAGAGCCCCACATTGGGTGTAGAGATTACTTAAATAAACAAACTTAAAGAAAAAGAAAGAAATTTTGGCTCTGGAAGCCTGGGGTTAGTTGGGACAACCAATAGACTGAAAAGCCTGGGAAAGAAGAAATTGGGAAAGGAGATACCTGATGGTGGGGGGTGGAGGCACTTTAATCAAGAAGGCCACACAAAATGTCAGAGCTAGGCACGTGGTCAAAAAGGCCTGAGAAGACCCTCAGCTTTTTAATCTAATAAATATATTTATCTCTGACTGGCCTTCAGGCTCCATGCACGCTGGGAGCAAAGACTAAGGCAGCATTGTAAGCAGTGGGGGTAAGCACTGAACTCATGCCCCAAAGAAGCCAATGTGCAAAGACTAAGAGAATTTTTTTTTCTTTTTTGCTCCAAGTGTTGAGGGAAACTGTCAAAACACCAAGTGACCATGACTGCTAAGTTCACTGAACACCACTTTCACATAACAAATAGTTTAGAGAAATGGTAAAATAGCAACCAATAACAACCCACAAACAAGCAGTAGCAATAAACCCTGAGGAGGAGGAAATCTCTGGTTTCCAGAACTGACACAGTATAATATTAAAAATCTCCAGTTTTCAACCAAAAAACTACAGAGCATGCAAAGAAACAAGAAAATATGGCTCTTTCACAGGGGAAAAAAAGGAAATTACAAGTGTCCATGATGTTGGGGCATTGGACTTACTAGACAAAGACGTGAAATCAACTCTCTCAAATATGCTCAAAGAGCTAAAGTAAGTCACAGGGAGAGAACTTGGTGGGAAAACCCCATCCCACCAAATACAGAACATCAGTAAAGAGATAGAAATTATAAAAATGAACCAAATAGAAATTCTGGAGATTAAAAGTATGATAATGGAAATGAAAACTAACTGAAGGATTTCAACTGTAGATTTGAGCCTGCAGAAGAATTAGGGAACTTGAAGATAGATCCATTGAGATCATCCAGTTTAAGAAGAAAAAAGAGAAAAGAATGAAAAAATAATTAAACCAAACTTAAGACACCTATGAGACACCATCAAGTATACCAACATATACATAATGGGAGTCCCGGATGGAGAGGAACAGGAAGAAACTAAAAGAACGTTTGAAGAAATAATGCCTTCAAACTTCCCAAATTAAATGAAAATCATGAATCTAAATATCCAAGAAATTCATTGAGCTAAATGCCAAAAGAGTGAATACTAATAAATAGAGAAACATATACTAGCCAGCATGTAAGCACACAAAGAGGTACAATTAGTATTTGTTGGATCAATTTACAAACGATGTTGAAGACCACTATTGCCCATGTTTCACGCTGCCCCGACCTACTTCAAATTATCATATCCACTGGCTGGTCATGTGTATATAAACAAAAATGGCAGTTCCCAGGGAGAGCGCAAGTGAATTCTAGGGAAACTTCAGCACACTTTCACCACCCTGAACACAGTTCTCTTTGAGGTCACAGGGTCCAAAGCTCACATTTTATACACAAAACAATCCTTTGGAGGAAGACTCTAATAAGCTTTTGTTAGTTGTTTCTCTACCCACTGCTTCTTTCCTTTTCCTTAACAGTCTCCAGATTCTACCCAGAGGCCATAAACCCCAACTCTAAATTTAGAAATGGCTTCTAGTTGTCTGCAGGTGATCAATCTTTTATGTCCGCTTTGACCATCATGATTGGCTTAGAGATGCATACATGAAGGAGAAAAGGCAGTAGAGACCAAAAGATCATGGCTAGGGTGCTATGTGAGCAATGGGGAAAGTAAAAATCTCTTTTTTGTGTAGGTTGTATCTGGAACCATGTCACTCCAAGGACCAGTCACCACTCTTTAACAGTAAGGGGTGAGTCTGCTGAGAGAGCAAGGAGGCAAAGACATGGACTGGAAGGTTAAGAAACTGGTTCCAGGCCACCTCACTTACTCCTCCAGCCCCGTGTTTCCCAAACTTAAGTAGGTAATAAAATCCCAGACCCCTTTTTAGTTCTGCTGCATCTGAATCTCCAGGTTAAGTCCTGGGAAACTGCTGTAGTCTCACCTGAAGCCAGCCCTAACGTTGAAGCTTTCAGAAACATGAACCAATAAATGTCCTTTATAATTTAAGAGAATTTGAGATCAGCCAGTTACTTGCCAATGAAAGCATCCTGACTGGTAGAAGCCAGCTAGATTTGTTTCTTTTGGGGGTTTCCCTCTTTATAGAGAAGTAAGCATCAGCTCTCAATGGATTATGTTATTTACATGCCTCTGATAAAGTTCAAAGGACAAGCTCTGGCTTTTCACAACAACCTGGAAAAAAAACAGGTTGAGAAATACATCTGCTAATCTCTCTTCCCTCCCACTGCTCCTCCCTCTGGCTCTCCTTTCTTAGATTACTAGGGTCCTAGAAGATCTTTTCAAAGAGACTCCTCTAGAGGCATCCAGAATCACTGATAAAATTTGAAACCCAGAGTCTCTCCAGGATGTCCCTCAGCGCTGTAAATCACCGCATTCCTCTAAGTGATGGAAACAGCATTCCGGTCATCGGTCTTGGGACATATTCAGAGCCTAAACTGGTAAATTTCTCTCTCTTTTATTTTAATGTTTTGAAACTCTCCTAGAACACAATCTTTAACTCATTTTGAGTGGATCTCATTGATTGACTTTTTATAATGAAAGTTATCTCCAGAGTACTATTTGGCATTATGAGTACTGAGCCAGAGGTTAAAACTATATCAGTTTATAATTTAAAATTATCTTTAAGCTTAGAAGATGGGACCTTTCTTCTTCCTTTGATGAAATTTAGCTGAATACGGATTATTAGAATGAACTGAGGCACATGAAGTTTCTGAGTTTACCACTTGTGGGGTTTTTTAAACTTTTATTTGAGAATTTCCAGTTCAGTCTAACAAATACTTAGTAAAAACCTCCCAGGTATGAAGCACTAGGCTATAGAAGCTTCAGATATGAAGGGAACAGTGTCTGTGCTACCTAGGTATTAGAAATCAAATAGAGGAGGCAGATTCTTTAATAGCTAATTATAGAATGATGAAGATAAGAATAAATGCTATCCTAGAACTACAAACTATTTCTCTGAAAACACAGACAAGAGAATTGTTAAATTTGACCTTCAGGATTGAGTGGATTGCCATTTAAACAGTTTCTACTTGTAAGAAAAATATCTTTCTGCTTTCCTCATTGCAATTCAAATTTAATGCTGATTACCAGAATAAACCATCATATGTGTAGAAATGCTACCAGATTTGTAGCATTAGATCAGATTTGTGTGATTACATAGGAATGACCTCCAGAAAGCTAACTACAAGTTAGAAGGCAGAGAAAGAGAGCTGAGGCAGGGTGTTTGGGGCAAAGGAGAATTATAGAGGCACAACGATAAATAATATGTCCAGCAAAGGCCAAGCCCGCAGTGGCTGGCACAAGGAATTAGTGGTGGAGGCAACGGCAGCTGGCTCTGGAAATGCAGGTTGAGACTAGATCATAAAGGACCTTGAATGCCATGCCAATGAGCTGGAACTTCACTCTGTATAAAAGGAGGAATTATGTGAAGTTTAGAAACAAAGGAAAAGCATCATGAGATCAGTACTTTTGAAAGATAATTCTGGAGCAGCATAGAGAATGGAAGACAGAAAAAGAAAAATAAGCCTAGAGTAACCAGTTAGTTAACGAACTCTTGTATCACAATCCCACATTCCACTGCAATTGCCCAGTCCCCTTGTTTTTGATAATGCAAAGGAAAACCACTGTTGGAACAATTACAAGGGTCTAAGTCATTGGCCCCTTCCTCTTCTTACTTTGCCCATTATCTGTCTATGATCTCGTTCACAACCTCGGCTCCGACCACATCCATGCAGAGACACCTATTTCCTATTTTTTTTTTTTTTTTGTTATATGTCCCCATACAACTGTGGACTGGCTACATCAGAACCACTTGGGGATTTAAAAAAAAAAAAATACAGATCCTCAGGCTTCACCTCTGTTCTACTGAATCTGAACCTTAAGGGGTAGAGATTGCATTTAACAAGCTCTTTGGATAATTCTGTTGGATAGTCAAGTATATGCTCCGTCTTCCTCAGACACCTCTAACTCAATATGACAAAATTACACTATCCATCTCTCCTTCCCCCTGCCCCTGAACTCTCCTCCTAGAAAATAACACTATCACTCTGAGCCTCCCAAGCCAGAAGTCTGACCATATTCCTACATTCTGCTCTCTTCCGCATGTTTCTCCTTGTCCACATTCTATCCAAATGATTGCTATTCAATTTCTCTCAGAAATATGTTTTCAATTCATACCACTCTCTCTATCTCCTTTGTCACTGCCTTAGTTTAGGTTCTTAATTTATCAGTAAGTTATTCTCCCAATCTTCTCCCATCCAATTAATGATCCAAACTGGGGCTGTCAGGATCTTTCTCAGACCCAAATCTGATCATGTCACTTCTGTGCTGAATTATTTCAGTGGCTCTCTTTCAATTACAGGGTAGAGACCACATTCCTTACCTTGCACACTGAGCTTTCAAGGTTCAGTCAAGACCCATCTGTCCAGCATAATCCACCACCACTCTTCCACCTTTCCCTCTGTGTAAAAAAAATACCTGCCTGAGATCCTGGAACAACTCTCCCATCTCCATGCTTATGAACATGCTGCCTTCTACCTGGAACACCCTTTCTCTTGGCTTTTCACTTAGCCAACTTCTACCAAACCTTCAAGACTCAGCTCAAGGACACCACTCCTTAGAATCCCATCCGTCCAGCTACCACAGCTTTTCCCTCTTGTGTGTTCACATGGACTCTTTTACTTGAGTCTACTGTAGATCTTATCACACTGGATTGTAATCCTTGTTTCTCTACAATCTGCCCCACAAGACTGTGAAATCCATTATGAAAGAGAGAATGTCTTGTTCAGTTCTGTATTTCCAAGGTAGTATTTAATAAGCAATGGGTATTCAGCTGATGCTTCCCAATTAATTAGTTTATAAAAGGGGATCTCTATGTTTGTGAGCATGTGAGGCTAGGAAGATGTAAATAGACATGACAGTAATAGCTAACATTTTGAGGACACTTAACATGCACCAGGAACTCCTTTAAGGACTTCACATTACATGTATTTTCTAATATAATCCTCAAGACATTATGAAAGATATACCATGTAACCCCATTTACAGATGATAAAGCTGAAGTATAGAGAGAGAAAATTGCTCCAAACTTACAGTGCTAGGGAACAGAGTTTGGATTTGAACAAATATACTTTGGGTCCAGACCCAATATTCTTTTTTTTTTTTTAAAGATTGATTGATTGATTGATTGACTTGACAGAGAGCGAATGCACAAGCAAGGGATGAGGCAGGCAGAGGGAGAGGGAGAAGCAGGCTTGCAGAGGAGCAGGAAGCCCGAAGCAGGGCTCTATCCCTGGACCCTGACATCATGAGCTGAGCTGAACGCAGACGCTCAACTGACTGAGGCATCCAGATCCAATGTTCTAATCCCTATACTCTACTGCCTGTTAAGAATATATCTAATGTCAATGAAACTGCAAATTTCTATAACTTTCTGTGTATTTCTATTTATGAAAGTACATAGGAATATACATCCTGAAAGTATGTAGAATGTGTGTGTGTGTATGTGTGTGTGTGTGTGTGTGTATCCTGAAATTCAGTTGGGCTCAAAGTGTCGTGCCTAACAATAAGTACTATTAAGTACTTTCTGGGTGTCTAGTAATATTCAATGCTATAGGTTAGAGACATTCAGAATCACGTGTTATTTCCCCAAGAAAGAGTTATAATTCACTTCAGAAGATAAGACATACATCAGTTAGACAATATGATGTAAGAAGAATACTATGAGAAATGGAGATCACGCACACACCAACTACATTTGTGATCAGAAATATTACCAACTGGAAAGTAATCAATGGAGCTAATGGTCTCACAAAATCAGAAACTCTGATGTAATGAAAAATATACCACATTTATCTGGAAGGTTTGTTGGACTGCAGAGGGAGATGAGGGGTGGGAAGAATGGATTATCTCACATAAAGCAGATTCGTGGCTTTCTATTCCAACCTATGCAAGTGCTAACTCCCTTATCATCTTCCCAGGATCGATGAGGAAGAGGCTAGAACTATCCGTGTCCAAGTCAGCCACCTTGAAATAAAAGTACTCAATTTTATTTAACTTCAGAATCAGTCTTAGTCCTAAAGGCAAAGTCTGATGCCAAAATTTAGTTTCCTCAACTTGGCATGCCTGAGAGTCTTTTCAAACCCTCATTCCACAACAAAGGGTAGAAGGCAAATGCCAGGCTGAGGTAACTCTTTACCTGAAATTCATTTGTGTTTTGTGTTTGGGGTCCTGTCAGTCAGTATCTGTCCTGGGATCCTGTTCACTTTTTACAGAGAAGTTAGAGAGCAGGAGAGTGCCAGGGAAAGATCCAGTCACATCTTCAGGGGATTACTTCAGAATTCAATTCAGAATTACTTCAGAATTCAATTACTTCAGAATTCAGAATTCAAGGAATTACTTCAGAAAGGGTGAGAGCAGACATGAAAGGCCAAAGTCAGAAAGGCTAACAATGTCTCGTCTGACCTCTGCCCAGGTCAGATTCCACCAGAGCGTGTAGAGACAGGAACTGGAAAAGCAACTTGGAGGAACAGTACCATGAAGCTGTTTGAGGGGCCTCAGGCCAGCTTCTCCTGGCTTTCAAAAAGATTTTTCTTTCTCTTATTGTGCCCAAATTTCTTATAAAGGTGTTTCATGCCTATAGACTCAGAGAATTTAAGATGGAACCAGCACTTAGTGTCACCAAACACTCTGTGCATTACACCACCTGGTGATGGCTAATGAAACCTAAAAACGTGCAAATTATCTAGGTGACGTTTTTCCTTTTGAAAGCTTCCCAGAATATTTTCATCCAGGAATGCAATAGTTTATAACAGCTTCCCAACAGATTTCCCTACAGCTCCATCTGAAAAGGTCTATTCCTTTGGATCTTATTCCTTTTTTCAGTTTTGATAGAAATTAACTCTGTTTTTATGAACATCAGCCCATGGAGTTAATAGCCCATCTTTATCAAAAACATCGAGTAAAACTCAAGAATGTTACTAGATGTGCAAATGACACAAGTCCAGGACCACTGGTAAATATTTTTACAGAGAAAGAGACACATATGACTAAAATATAAGGAAAAGCTGAACTGCTTTAAGAGAAATGAAACTGGTTCAAAGTTAAAGTAGCAATGAGTCAATCAGTTACAAGGTAGATCAAGTCCTAGGAAGTGGATTGGGGGTCGTACATGATCTGATATTCCTTCCTGGGTGGTCCACATTGAGATTTCTGTAGCTGCAAGCAGTTTTCACAGTCTGGAGAGTGAGCCGAAGGCTTTGTATCTGGGGCAAAGGAGAGGTGAAGTCCAAACCTTTCATGAGTACCAAGGGGGAGCCTTAAACATCCAGTCCATTCTGCCCCTGAGCTGGAAGGGGATGGGAGGCACAGGCTTAGGACTGTTCTCAGGATTTTGCCATCCTTTAAATATCCCATGCTTTCTCCTCAATGCCCATCAAAT